TTTGAAGCGAGCCATAGAACAAAAACGACCAGAATGGGTGAATAGGCACAGTAAATTAATTCTTCAACATGACAATGCCAAACCGCATACCGCCCAAGTTGTGAAAAGATATTTAGATGGACAGGAGTGGGAAGTGCTACTCCACCCGCCATATTCGCCAGACATAGCTCCTTCTGATTACCACTTATTCCGAACACTGCAGTCAGATCTTATGGGAGAACGGTTCACTTCATACGAAAGTATCAAAATTTGGCTTGATAATTGGATCAGCTCAAAAGACCAGGATTTGTTCAGGCAAGGAATGGGTAAATTACCTGAAAGATGGGCGAAGGTTGTAGCCGCAGATAGAGCATAGTTTCAATAAACTTTTCTTTAATTTTCTAAACAAGAAAATGTGTTTTATTTGAACAAAAAAGGGCGGAGTCATATTCACACGCATAGATAGGATTAATAATAATGAATTATTATGGCCGAAATAAAAAATGAAAATTCTGACTGTCATAACTCATTTTGTTCCCATTTATTTCCTGTGAGCTTGTTCTTACAATAATTTTAAACATAAATAATGTCAGAACTTGTTCCTCATTGTAAGGTTCCCCACAGGAATTCGAGAAGTTGATAGAAATTTCAAGGGAATCCGAGACGTTTCTCGAAATTTCGATAGAATCCGAAGGACTTCTAGAAATTTCGAGGGAATTCAAGGAATTTTTGACAAATGTGAGGGAATGCAAGGAGTTTCCAAGAACTTCGTGACTCCTTTGTGACCTTAGTGGCCCTCGTGACCCTTTATGATTTCCCCCTCGCCCTTAAATCACCGCTACGATAAGATGCCCAAGATTTCATGTTAGAATAAAGTTGACCCCCACAATATGATACTTTTTTCTTTCACTGGTGTCGCTATCAGTCAATTTTCAACCGGCTATACCTAATTTCGGAGATTTTGGCCGCCGGAAATTTTGGGCGTCGGGGATTTTGTCAACCACCCAATTCAGGGAGTTTCTATCAAATTTGAGGGAATGCAAGGAATTGCTGAAAATTTCAAGAAAATTCAAGAAATTTTTAGAAACTTCGAGAAAATTCAGGCAGTTTCTAGAAAATGCATGGGACTCCGAGAGAATGTCAGGAGTTTCTGAAAATTTCGTGGAAATTCGGGGAGTTTCTATAAAATTCGAGGGAATGCAAGGAATTTCTGGGAAATTCGACAGGATTGAGGGATTTCTAGAAAATTCAACAGAATGCATGGAATTTCACGAAATTTTCACAGAATTCAGGGAGTTTTCAGAAAAGTTGCCTCAATTTAAGGAGTTTCTAGAAATTTGAAACGAATTCTTGAAGTAAAACCCGATTTCTTGACTTCATGATTCTATTATAGGAGTACTTGAGAACGAGTCATAAAATAAATTTCGTGAAATTTGTGAAGCTATTGATTGTTTTACACACCTGCACCGAAAGTTCGTACTTTGATCGTTCGTACTTACCTCCCTAATAATCGGGACGAAAGTGAGTACTTCTCGCTCTAGGGTGGAAAGTTTTTCCTTCGGACGGAATCTACTGATTACTTTTCACCCAATCATCAGAACGCAAAATGCAAACTTTTCTTTGCAGGTGTGTTAAAATATAACATGTGCACCTCGAGCGGAAAAACATGACTTTCCCCCCTTGGTGCACAATATACTATTCATTTTTATCCCTAACTTGTGTAAAAGACTAAAGAATGAATCGCAAAATCATTTTGAATTCAAAAATAAGATGCAGAAAAAACAGTTGCCCGGGCAACGCCGGGCACACCAGCTACTATCTTTTATATCAGGGACAAGCCCTTTTTGACGTGGACACGTCTTTCTTTTCATGACGGGGGGTCATTTGCGGAAAATTCTTGGGTGGCCAGCGCCATCTACTGAAATTCTAGAAAATTCCAGTTTTCTAAAAAATTCGAGATGTCAGAATTTCCTAGAAAAATCCAGGGGGCATATTGGGTAAAATCCATGCGTTTGAGAGAGAAAGGGGTCGGCTACAAATGCAATTCTCTCTGTCCGTTTTTGGCAATACACAGGAGAGATAAGGAACCCGCAGTCTAGGGATTATTAGGTCATCCTACTTCTGGGGTCACACTTTTTATTTTCTATATTTTAACAAGCGATAACCGACATACAATGATACTTTCATAATATTATTCAGTAATCTTCTCCATTATGGATGACGCGCTCCCAGACTGCTGGCAATTCTCGAACACCATGTAGAGTCACATTTTCATTCAAAATGGAAATAAACCTATACAACTCAATATCCAACTGCTCTTTGCTGTTGTAACGAGTGCCTGACAATTCCCTCTTCACGTGACCAAAACAATTAAAATCACACGGATTCATATCGGGAGAATATGGTGGGTGGAAAAGTTCTACTCAACCTTCATTGTCAATTAACTGCCGAAACATGCGTGCTTTATGTGGTCTGGCGTTATCGGTAAAATAAGGGGACCTGTTATGTGATGTTCTTGTGCCCACTTGGGAATATTGCCCTCCAAAAACGCCTTATAACGTTCAGATGTCAGTCGTATTTTCTGCATAAGTCGTCCAAAAAGCAATCCCTCTTATATCCATTGCAACCATCAGCACTATCTTCCGTTCGTGGAGTTCTGCACGTTGTATTCTTGGCGCTGACGTATTTGGTTCCACCCAAGATCGTGATTGATGTTTTTGAAGAGGGATATAAAATTCGACCCAACTCTCATCTATATACAGGAGCCTAGAAAGTATATTTTTCTTACAATGATACCACGCCAAATTGCTACGTGCAGCTTCTTATCGAAATTCCTTTTCATCGTCAGTTAAACTGTGAGGTATCCATATTGCCCATTTATTGACTAGACCTAAATGTTCGGTTAGTACTCTATACACAGTCGAACGAGGAATACCAAGCTGGGTGGAAAGATCGTTGACACTCACTCTAGGTGACTGACGGAGAGCTTCTGCGATTTTATATCTCCCTTCTAATCTATTTGTGACATTGGTTGAGGGATCCAGACTTCATCTTCAGTGGACATTCGACCTCGTTTATAGGCATTGAGCCAGCGTTGTATTGGTCGTTTATTTAATGCATTGCGGCCAACACATTTCACTAATAACCCGTGCGTAACTCCTTCAGAGTAATCTAATAGGGCACAAAATTTCAGGAATATTCGTTGCTCCACTACACTCAGAGATTTCTTCAATTCCTCCATCGTAAATACTGCAACGTAATTGAAACGAAAAGTATACGACACGGCTATAATGAATGAGCAATACTATCATGTTACAATTTTTTTCGTCAGATGGCGCAATACCATGCCAGCTGGAAAGAAAAACGTGACACCAGAAGTGGGATGACCTAATATATGTCTGTGGTCAACGCACAACCAAAACGGCCACTATTCCTGATTCCTTGTTCCCTATTTTCTTCGCTCGTTTATATATCTGCCTTTCGGAAGTTTTCGGCCGAGAAACTTCCGGCGTTCGATGCGAATCGCCCCGTATCTAACACCCATTGCCCTTCCATCTAGACTCTTCGATGACAACTTTTATAACCCCTCTCGGCTAAAACTTCCCTCCTCTTCCTTCTTTCATTTATTTGTGAATAAATAACGAATTAAAAAGGAATTAAAGGGTCACGAGGGAAAGAGGAGGAAGAATGTTCTTGGTGAAAGGAGTTATAAAAACTGTCATCGAAGAGTTCAAATGGAAAGGGAAAGGGTCTTGGATACGGGGCGATTCGCATGGAACGACGGAAGGTTCTCGGTCGGAAACTTCCGGAAGGTAGATTCCTATATAAACGGGGGACCCAGCGCGGTCTCCAGTTCAGTTTGAAATCAGACTTAACATACCTAGTCACGTCACCTAGACGTCTCCACGTCAAGTCTAACTGCAGTTTTAAGGATACTGCCAATTAGGATTGCGGCTCTTAGACGTGTCCACGTTAACCCATTGGCGGTGGAGAGTCGCGAATCGTCTCGGTGTGAAGGAAGGGGGGGGGGGTCGTTAGTGTGTTAGTGCGCCATAAAAAAACCACGGCGACGCACGCACACTACTACAAAATAGTGAAAATTGGGGAACCGTGACGTGGATCACTGGGTTACAGACAGACACAATGGGTTAAGTCTAACTGCTGTATCAAGGATACAGCCGATTAGAATTTTTTCACGGGATCAACGTCCAGCCTGACCTGTTAGAGTTTCGACCATGAGTTTCTGCCGACAGCATTCTAGGAAATTTAAGGTTTTCGGATTCTTCAGTGAGCAAAATGAAAAGTTCTGGAAAAATTCCAGAAGTTTCTTGAAAATTCAAGAGCATACAGGGAGATTCTAGAAAATCCAAGAGAATTCATGCAGTTTATATAAATTTCACGAGAATTCCTGGAATTTTGAGAAAATTTCGAGAAAATTCAGGGATTTTCTATCAAATTCAAGGAAATGCCAAAAGCTTCTAGAAATTTTGAGCTAATTCGAGAAATTTCTCGAAATTTTGATAGAATTCAAGGAATTTTCTGCAAAATTCAAGGGAATGTGAGAAGTTTCTAGAAATTTTGAGGAAATACGAGAAGTTTACAAAAATTTTGAAGAAATTCGAGAAATTTCTGGAAATTTTGATAGAATCCGAGGAATTTTTAGAAAATTTCTGACAATTCAAGGAGTTTCCAGAAAATTCGACAGAATTGGAGGAGTTCTAGAAAATTCAAGAGAATGTATGGAGTTTCAAGAAATTTGGGGTTAATTCCAGGAGTATTAAGAAATTTGAAGCGAATTCGAGATGTAATCCCAATTTCGTAAAAATTTGAAATTTCTTATAATTGATGCATTTTATACCTTTCATGCATTTTATGCAATGAGCATTCCTTACGACTCATCCCACCTTCCAGGGATATTTACGAAATTTATGCATTTTATGCTTAAAGGAAATGCTGATCTTTTTTAGATCGCAAAATTACTCAATTCTCATTTTTTTACTTATTCTGTTTTTTGTGCATAGATGGATGCCGACTACGATTCTATCAAGCCCGTCCAAGAAGTATTAGTGAGTTCATTGAGAAAGAAGCGAAAACGTCGTTCAAAATTCGCGGAAATGATCTCGAAGGACAAACCGAAATTTGATCCAACCTTCCACACTTCCTACAAAGACTACTTCGATCAGTACTATGGTCTTGATTATGAAGATATGATTGGAAATATGCCTTGTAGATTTAAGTACAGGGACGTGGTGCCTAATGATTATGGTCTATCCGTCGATGAGGTAATTAATCATTTCACTATTTAAATCGTCACCAGCTTCATTAATCCTCCCGAATTGATTGATTACTTATTACTCTTGTTTTCATGCAGATTTTAATGGCCGATGATAGAGAATTGAATAAGTGGTGCTCCCTGAAAAAAGCATTAGCACACAAACCCAAACATCAAGAGTTACAAGAAGTTAAAATTTACCAAGAAAAATCATTAAATACACCGTATAAGAAAAAGGTTCTCAGAAGTTTGTATGAACAGTTAGACAAGTCGGAAAATAATGATGGAGACAATGAAGAAAGTTTCATAAATAAAAAAAAGAATAGACGTAAAAAAAGCAATCGAATTAAGGCTGCGAAGACTGATGGAGTATTAATTTCTTTTCCACAAGGTGATAATAGAGATGTGACGAATAAAGCAGCAGAGGAGAAAGTTGTGATCAATCACCTGAAGAAAATTGATGAGACCTGCAATCCTACTGATTTTGTGAGTAATAAAGAAGAGCCTCCGAAGAAAAAAGTGAAGACACAATGTGTCAAGAGGATTGAACAAGAAGATAAAACTGGCGAGGAAACCAATAATGGAAGAAAAAAATTGCGGAATAGTTCTCAAGACTCATACAATTCAACTCCAAAACCAGATGATAGTAAATATCAAAAACCACTACGGGAGAAAAAATACAAGCAACTACAGAAGATGAAAAAAGCCAAGGACTCGAAGGATTCGTATAACCCGGTCATCACATCTTTAAGTGATGAGAGACTGAAAGCCTACGGAATTAAGCCGAAGAATTTCAAAAAAAAAATGAAATATGGCCTGCAATCAAGCTTAAATATGAAATTGAGTTGTGGGTAGTCATTAAATGTGAAAATAAAAATTCCGAAGGAATGCGGAAGATGGACCCACTGATGCCACCAATGATCCGAAACTAATGATGATGATGATGATGGTGATGGTCCGTACTGATATCACAAATGTGCCGAAATCTTCGAGCACATGTGTGATATCAGTTCTCTTCGTTGCATAGAAACGAATGTGTGCAATTTCTCCAGAAATTTTTATCATTTTTTTCCATACATGAGAGCCTGAGAAGATTACCTGATTAATTTGAGAGAAGGAGGAATCCTTGAAGGATCATTTTTTTTCTTCCCTTATTAAGAAAATCAAGGACAAAATGTCAAACATTTCAAGTTGGACAATTTTTCCAGAAACAATCTCAACGGAATAAGTTGTATCGAAGAGGAAAATCTGAGATGAATTACTTTACGCTTACCTAGTTAGAATCATTAAAGTAGTATGTATAAACTTCAGTTCAGTCGTTGAGTGTAACATGGAAAAATAAATTTAACGATCTAAAAAAATGATTATTTATCATTGGTAATTTTTTTACATCAATTTCGACTTTGATGAATATGAGAAATTGATCAATCAAAATTTATTTTTCATCATTTCTGCAAACAAGTCTCCTATGCAGTTCTATCAATGCTTCTCCGGATTTTAAATGACGTTGTAGAAAACGTGTTCTTTACGTAGTAAATGTCTAACATGTTAGAGAACTCATAACGTCACATTGCATCAGAAACCGTGTTACCCGGCGAAGACCACACGTCATGACAGTCACACCGCGCGATAATCATATCGCAAGAGCATAGCGAAAGTCATACGTCACACTGATTAATGGAATCATTCGCAAGCAGCCCCGTTATGGAAATTTGAATTTTATCGTTCTTGCTTCTAAATGGAAGCTTTGTAATCGTTAAAAATTAAGTTTCCAAATTTTTGTGTCAGGGAAACTATTAGGTATATAAATTAATTCTCGGCCTTTTTTCTACAATTCTGACATTTATTTGCAAAAAAATGAATACAGATCTAATCTTGAAAGTAATCACCCTCACTTTGCACGCATTTCTCTCATCTATCGGGCAATTGTCCGATTTCGGCTCGGAAGAAAGATGGCGGTTTTGACTGGATGAAGTCATCAATGCTCTGCCGGACTTCTTCAGGAGATTGTAACTGGGTATCCACCAGGTGATGTTGTAGCGCCCGAAAAAGGTGATAGTCAGAAGACGCAAGGTCTGCAGAATACGCCGTATGTGGGAGAATTTCCCAGCCCAACGTGGAAATAGCTTTCAGTTATCCGCGTCCTGCAACAAAATCACTCGCCTCGTACCACTACCAGTAAAAGGTCTCTTTTCCTCAACAGCATCACTCAATTTCACCAGTTGGTTCTGATAACGCTTAGCCGTGACGGTTTCCCCCTGTTCGAGTATCCCATAACAGATTACACCTTTGGAATCCCACCAAATACACAACAACAATTTTTTCCCGTGAATGTTCGGTTTTGCAGTGCTTGTTGCCAGTTCCCCCGGATAAACCCACGACTTTCGCCTCTTAGGATTGTCGTAAAATATCCACTTTTCATCCTCAGTCAGAATTTTATGTAAAAAATCTTTTTGTTTGAATCTGGTCAGTAGGCACATTGCAATTTCACAGCGTCGACTTTTGTTTTCGGAGGTAAGATGATGGGGCACCCAACGACCTTCCTTCTGTATCCTCCTAATTCTTTTTAAACGCACCGAAATAGCTGGTTGAGTCACTCCAAGAGTATCAGCAAGCTCCTGTTGTGTTTGACAGGGATTTTCATTGAGTAAGTTGTCCAACTCCTCGTCCTCAACTTTTTTTGGTTGCCCAGGACGTTCCCCATCCTGAAGATCAAAATTTCCATCCCGAAATTTTTTAAACCACTTTTTACATGTGCTATAAGATACAGCACTCCCTCCCAAGGCCAAACGAATCATTGCTTGTGCTTCTGCGGCAGTTTTTCCAAGTTGCAAGGTGAAAAGAAGGCAGTGCCTCAAGTGCTGCTTGTCGAACGATATTTTTATTCACTATGTTTTTTGAGGTTGTGTTAATCACACCACAATCGAACTTCAGTTGTTTGATAGTTCACAGATGGCGCTTCAAAACGCCGTTTATCGCGGGGAATTCTTTTAATTCAAATAGGTATTCTAATCAATTTAATCTGGGGGTCGAGAATTAATTTATACACCTAATAAATATGGTCTAAAAAGTCTAAATATGCGATTTTTAGATGATGTCTGTATGTATGTGTGTGTGTTTATTTTTTTTTTTTTTTCGAGGTCTTTGGAGTGAATGTACCTAACCGCACGATAGTGGACAGTAAGAGCGGTGATTACTGCCCGCACCCACTAAACACCCCTGACCCCGGGATTTCCTCCCGACTCTTCTTTCCCTCGCAGAATCACCGTTAAGTATTACTTCGCGAGGGAGGTCTCAGCTGTTTGCTCTTCCACCGTGACTTCATTCAATGTACGTCCCCCTGCCCCACTGAGATGTTGAGTGTGGGTAGGAGGTTCCAATGAATTCCTCAGCTATTCTGCAGCTTTGCGCTTGCGTTTCTCTTTCCTGAGCTCCTTCAAGACTTCGACTGCAAAGTTACTCGCCGCGTCGCAGCCCGCATGTGATGATTGCAAAACATCCATCAAGTTCTCAGGCAACACCTGCCTCCCAAGTGTAGACTTCCAGGCACTCCGGATCTCGCTAAAGTGAGGGCATGTGAAGAACACGTGCTCTGCGTCCTCGTCCACTCCTATGCAGATCGGGCACTTGGGGGAATCCTCATGTTTGAATTTATGGAGATACGCCCGAAAGCACCCATGTCTCAATAGCATCTGTGTCAGGTAGTAATTGACCTCCCCATGGTTTCGGTTTAGCCAGACATCCACCTTTGGGATCAGGCGATGAGTCTACCTCCCTTTGGTAGAATTGTCCCACTTTATGTGCCATCGCCTCAAACTGTTTCGCCTCTCTTCTATCGCCAATTCTTCGGGGTTCAGCGTTTCAGATCTCTTCCGCTGGTACAAGGATCTCCGCTTCTTAGCTAGTACCTCTATCGGTGACATCCTGGCGATGACGCGCATTGCGTCTTCGGACACCGTACGATATGCGCTCGCGACTCTTAGTCAATATACTGATGCCACCTTTCGCCGTGGTTCCTGCAGTTGCAGTGCATCACCCAAAGAGGATAAACCTGAGTAGAGGCCCGGATCGGGGGGTTTGACTCACTCCAAAAATGTTAGTTGGTACCCCACGGGAAAGGCGGCGTCCCGGTCGAATTGTCGGTAAATGTGAGTCGGGTGCGTGAGTAACTCGACAGTAGCAGTCCCGCTGTGACAGGGACAGGTTCGGAGGGGAATTTTTGTCCTCCTTGTACTCAATGTTTACTTTATGTTTTTCAGTTGATTTATTCGCCGACTAATTAATATTAAGGGATGAAACAAAGACTATTCAATGGAGAATTAAATTCCCCATCCATCAACGCCTGTTTCATCCCTTAATCTCTGCAATGAAAAAATTAATATTGCGACGAAAGTCACGGGGCTATAAGAAACCCAATGTTTTCTCGGCGCAGAGTGACTCCCCAATAATTCACCCGCTAATTACAAAATCGTCTCTCCTCTCCTAATTAACATTAAGGAATGAAATCAATGTTGTTCGATGGAGAATTAAATTCCCCATCCTTCAACCTCCGTTTCATTCCTTAATCTCTGTAACAAGGAAATTAATATTGCGACGATAGTCGCGGCGGTATGAAAAACTCGATGGTTTCTCGGCGCAGAGTGCTTCCCCATTAATTCGCCCGCTAATTAAAAAATCGTCTCTTTTCTCCTAATTAATATTAAGGAATGAAACCAATGCTGTTCGATGGAGAATTAAATTCCCCATCCTTCAACCCCCGTTTCATTCCTTAATCTCTGTAACAAGGAAATTAATATTGCGACGATAGTCGCGGCGGTATGAAAAACTCGATGGTTTCTCGGCGCAGTGACTCCCGACAACTCGCCCGCTAATTAAAAAATCGTATCTCTGCTCCTAATTAACATTAAGGAATGAAACCAATGCTGTTCGATGGAGAATTAAATTTCCCATGCAACAACTCCCGCTTCATCTCTTAATCTCTGCATTAAAAAAATTAATATTGCGACGAAAGTCACGGCGCTATAAGAAAC